GGGCTTGGTGCGGCGCGGGGCCCCCTGCGATAGCCGCAGCAGGGGGTGCGCCAGTGCTGCGCCTGGACTGGGGGGGGGGGGGATGGGTGATCCTCTTTTAGGAGAGAAGAAAACCGAAAAGTTTTTTTGATTCCCTTGTTTTTAATGGGTTGAATGGTTTATAAAAGGTAATTCATTAAAAGTATGATGACTAGGTGGACAATTTAATGATCATTCTAAAGTATTTATTTTTTCTACATCTAAGTTATTTCAAGAAATAAATTTTTCTTCTGAATAGAAAGCATCAAAAATTACATAAATGAATCATACTACTCCTATTATAGAAATAATAGAGCCTAAAGAGCTGATAGCATTTCAAGTAAATAAGCTATCTGGAAAGTCTGCATATCTTCTAGGCATTCCTGCTAATCCTAAGAAATGTTGAGGGAAAAAAGTTAAATTTACTCCTATAAAGGTAATTCAAAAATGAATTTTACCAAAAGTTTCATTGATAGCAAATCCAGAAATTTTTCCAAATCAAAAATAAAATCCTCCAAACATAGCAAATACTGCACCTAATGATAAAACATAATGAAAATGAGCTACTACATAATATGTATCATGTAATAAAATATCTAATGATCCGTTAGCTAAAATTACACCAGTTAATCCACCTAAAGTGAATAAAAATATAAAACCAGTAGCTCATAACATAGGTGTAGATAAATTAATTTTTCCTCCATACATTGTTGCTAATCAACTAAAAATTTTAATTCCTGTTGGGACAGCAATAATCATAGTAGCTGCTGTAAAATAAGCTCTAGTATCAACATCCATTCCTACAGTAAACATATGATGAGCTCAAACAATAAAACCTAAGAAAGCTATAGCCAATTGAGCATATATCATACCTAAGTATCCAAAAACTTGATTTTTTGAGCTAAATATAGGTATGATTTGAGATATAATTCCAAATCCTGGGATTATTAAAATATAAACTTCAGGGTGACCAAAAAATCAAAATAAATGTTGATATAAAACAGGGTCTCCTCCTCCAGCTGGATCAAAAAAAGTAGTATTAAAATTTCTATCAGTTAGTAGCATAGTTATTGCTCCTGCTAAAACAGGTAAAGAAAGGAGTAATAAAAATGCTGTTATTAACACTGATCACACAAACAAAGGAAGTTTGTCAAATGTTAAACCCGGTGTTCTCATATTAAAAATAGTTGTAATAAAATTAATTGCTCCTGCAATGGAAGAAAATCCAGCACAATGAAGACTAAAAATAGCTAAATCTACAGATCCTCCTGAATGAGCTAAAGGCCCAGATAATGGGGGGTAAACAGTTCAACCTGTTCCTGCTCCTTGTTCAACTAAGGATGAAGTTAAAAGTAAAATTAATGCTGGAGGAAGTAATCAAAAACTCAAATTATTTAATCTAGGAAAAGCCATATCTGGGGCTCCTATATATATAGGTACAAATCAATTCCCATAACCTCCTATTAAAACTGGCATAACTAAAAAAAATATCATTACAAAAGCATGAGCTGTGACTATAACATTATATAAATGATCGTCCCCTATTACTCTCCCTGGTGTTGATAGTTCTATTCTAATTAACATACTTAAAGCAGTTCCTATCATTCCAGAAAATGCGCCAAAAATTATATATAAAGTTCCTATATCTTTGTGATTAGTTGAAAACATTCAACGTGTGATTCAATTATACACTTACTTTTTGAAAAAATAAATAATTTTCTAATTTTCCTATAATTGGAATAATAAATAAAAAGTAAAAAAAATAAAATAAGCTAGAAATTATACTAATTAATATATAAGGGTTTTCTATAGGTTTAGAACCTAACCAAGTTAATAAAATAAAATTTGCTATAAACACTCAATATAATAATTTCCCTATTGGTCTAAAGGTTAAAGAAAAAAATTTATTAGTATGTAAAAATGGAATAATAAATAATATTACTATACTTAAAATTAAAGCTAAAACTCCTCCTAATTTATTAGGAATAGATCTTAATATGGCGTAAGCAAATAAAAAATATCATTCTGGCATTATATGAACGGGGGTAACTAATGAATTAGCATTAATAAAATTTTCTGGGTCTCCTAAGGTATTAGTATAAAAAAATACTATAAATAATAAAATAAATATTAATATAAAGAATCCATATATATCTTTTATTGCAAAATATCAATGAAATGGGACTTTATCAAAGTTGCTATTAATTCCTAAAGGATTGCTTGATCCGACACTATGTATTAACACTATATGAATTAAAATTAATGATGCTAATACAAACGGAAATAAATAATGCAGGCTAAAAAATCTACCTAAGGTAGCATTATTTACACTAAATCCACCTCAAATTCATTGAACTATATCATCCCCTATATATGGAATTGCAGATAAGAAATTTGTGATAACAGTAGCTCCTCAAAAAGACATTTGTCCCCAAGGTAAAACATAACCTATAAAAGCAGTAATCATCATTACTATAAATATAATTATACCCGAGAATCAAATAGGTTTTTTTTGATAACCCCCATAATATAAACTTTTACCTATATGAATATAAACACAGATAAAAAACAAAGAAGCTCCATTAGCGTGAATTGATTTTAGTAGAAATCCGTAATTTACGTCTCTACATATATGAACTATTGATTTAAAAGCTAAAATTATATCTCCACAATAGTGCATAGCTAAAAAAATACCAGTAACTAATTGAATTGCAAAACATAATCCTAATAAGGATCCAAAATTCCATAAATAATTTATATTTGATGGGGAAGGAAGGTCGATTAAAGTAGAATTAATGTGTTTTATAAGATGATTATTTTTTCTAATTCTCATTATATAGAAATATTAATATAAGAACTAAATGTTATGGGATTAATTAATATATTGGGATAAATTCCTAATATAATAATAAATATTATTAATGGCAGTAGACTCTGAAATTCGAAATTTACTATATCTCTTGAAAATTTTAAATGAATTGAATTTGAACCAAAAAATATTCTATTATAAACTCATAAAGAATATATTAAATTTATAAAAACACCTAATAAGATTAATAAGATTATAAATAAGGAGAATTTAAAAGCTGAAATTATCAAAAATAATTCAGCTATAAAATTCAATGTTAATGGAAATGAAATATTAGCTAAAATCAAAATAAATGTAATTATACTTAAGATGGGCATAGTAATAGTCAAACCTCTAAAATATTTTATAATTCTAGAATGAAATCTAAAATAAATAATTGAGGTTATAATAAATAAACCTGAACTAGATAAACCATGAGCAATCATCATTAATATTGATCCTGTTAATCCTTCAATAGAATGTGAAAAAATACCTACAGTTACTAAACCCATATGAGATACTGAAGAATAAGCAATTAAACGTTTTATATCTATTTGACGACATGTAGTCAAAGCGCCATAAACTATGGCTATTATACTTATTATAATAATTAATGGATAATAAAATTGAGAGGCTGAAGGAAATATTGGATAACAAAATCTTATTAATCCATATCCCCCTAATTTTAAAAGTATTCCTGCTAATAAAATTGAACCTGCTATTGGTGCTTCTACATGAGCTTGTGGAAGTCAAATATGAAATGGTACCATTGGTATTTTTACAGCTAAACCTATGAAAAACCCTATAAATAATCAAAATTGAATATCATATGGGATTTTTATAATTAATAAATTTTCATAATTAGTAGTTCCAATTAAAGAATATAGCTTAAATATACTTATTAACATTAACAAAGATCCTATTAAAGTATAAAAGAAAAAATAAAAAGCAGCTTTAATTTTTTCTTCTCTGTATCCTCATATACCAATCATAATAAAAACTGGTATTAATATGCTTTCGAATAAAATATAAAATCATAGTACATCTAAAATAGAAAACACCCCTATTAATAAAATAACTGATATAAATAGTAATATATTAAATTCTTTTTTAAAATACTTTATTGATCTCAAACTAATCAATATACATATAGGAATCAATAAAATACTTAATCCAATAAAAAATATAGATATTCCATCAACAGAAAGAATAAAGTTATTTCAATTAACAAAAATTGAATTAATTAACAATCAATTAAAATCTATACTAAATTGAAAATTAAAAATTCTATAGTTTAAAACAAAAAATACTATATAATATAATAATAATATTAAAGATCAAGATAAAGAAATATTAAAGATGTTACTACTATTTCTTTTAAGAAATAAAATATTTAATATACTTAAAAATGGGATTAATAAAAGAAAAATTATATACATCATTTATTAGATAAACCTCAAAAAGCTCATAATAAAGAATTTGTTATAATAATAAATGATAAACTTAATGGTAAATAAGACTTTCATAATAAACTCATTAGTTGATCATATCTTAATCTAGGAAAAGAAGTTCTTACTCAAATAAATAGAAATATAAACAGAATCATTTTTAAAAAGAAAATAAAATTATTGATAAAAAAATAATTACTTCAGTTTCCTAAAAATAAAATTACAAAAAAAGCGCTACTAAGTATTATATGAGAATATTCTGCTAAAAAGAATAGAGCAAAAGACATTGAAGAATATTCTACATTATAACCAGAAACTAATTCTGATTCTCCCTCAGTTAAATCAAATGGAGCTCTGTTAGTCTCTGCTAATAAACATATAAAAAACATTATAGCTATAGGTCATAAAGGAAAAATATAAGAAATACTCTGACTTTGTGAGTTTATTAAAGAATAAATATTTAGAGTTCCAGCACATAAAATACAAGAAAAAATAATTAAACTAATACAAACTTCATAACTTATCATTTGAGCAGCAGCTCTTAATGAACCTAAAAAAGCATATTTGGAATTACTTGATCATCCAGATAAAAGAATAGAATATATGTTTATAGAAGAAATAGCAAAGATAAACATAATTCCCAAATTAAAATCAAAAATTAAATTATTAATTCCTAATGGGATAATTATTCAAATAAGTAATGATAAGCTTAAAGCTAATATAGGAGAAAATAAATAAAGAAAAATATTTACATGATTAGGGATAATTAATTCTTTTGAAAATAATTTTACACCATCAGCTAAAGGTTGTAATAATCCATATATTCCTACTACGTTAGGGCCTTTTCTATTTTGACTATAGCCTAAAATTTTTCTTTCTGCTAAAGTTAAATAAGCTACAGAGATTAAAACTGGAATAACAATTGTTAAAAACTTTACAATTTCTAAGATAATTAAATATATATTTTTCATTATCCTTTTAATAAATTTAATAATTTTAAAGAAATAGATCCTTTTATTTTATAAAAAGCTACTATTATTGATAATCCAATAGCTGATTCAATAGCAGCTATAGTTATTACATATATTGCTATTATTTGTCCCTCTAAAGAAAAATTAGTCAATGAGGTTAACATAAAGTTCATTGAAATTGATAGTAATAAAATTTCTATACTAACTAAAATTAATATTATATTACTTCTATTTATGATTATACCTATAATACTAATACAAAACATAATTACTACTAATAAATTAAAGTCAAATAACATTATTCTCATTCTAAACCCCCTCTTAATCATTCATAAACTAATCCTATAACTAATATCATTATAAATAAATATATAATAAATTGTGAATAATAATCTATTAAGTTTGAATTTACTGATCATGGAAATAAATAAATTATTTCTAAATCAAATACTAAAAATAAAATAGAAATTAAAAAAAATCTTATAGAAAATGGTTGACCAGTCGAATGAAAAGGATTAAAACCACATTCATAGATAGAAACCTTTTCTTTATCTGGTGATTTAAAAGAAAGAAAAATTGAAAAAAATAAAACTATAAAACTAAGAATAAAACTTATGGATAAATAAATAAACAAATTTAATTTCATGAATTATTTCTTAAATGTTGAATAAATATTTTTTGTTTTTTTGAATTAGAATTATAAGTAATTGTTAGAACAATTACTCCTATCATGCCTATGGATAAAATAATACTAATTAATATAAAATTTATAGAATATTTAGAATAAAAAAATAAAGCTAGATTATGAAAATTGTAATGATTTATTAAATTAAAATTTAAAAAATCATTATTTAAATGATAAGAAAGAAATATATCTTTATTAATAATTTTTATTGTTAGTAAACTTAGAATAATTAAAATTATAGGGATTATATTGTTTATATTAGAATTTTTTTTTATTTGAATTATATCTAACATCATTATTACAAACAAAAATAATATTACTATAGCCCCTACATATATTATTATTAATAATAATGACAAAAATTCCAAGTTTAAATTAATTAATAAAGCGAAGGAAAAAAAAAATACAGTTACTAATCAAAAAACAGAATGAATGGGGTTTAAAGAATTAATACACATTAAACACCCTAAAATTATCAAAATAGAAAAAAAAAAGAAAAATTCATTCATGATTGGATTATAAATCACAGGGAAAAGTTCCCTTTCCCCCACTATGTTACGACTTACTCTATCTTTTATGATCAAGGCGACGGGCTATTTGTATTAATATTTGCACTTATTCATTAAAACCTTATATTTTTAATTACTATTAAATTCTCTTTTAAATCAGTTTACATTGATTATCCAAATATAAATTTATATTATAATATTTATTGTAGTACATAATATCCCTTTTCATAAAGGCCATAATATTTGACTTTATTCTTTTAAGAATTATGCTTTAACTATAAGTTAAAGCTGAAGACAACCATGCAACACTTGTATTTTCAAGAAAAGGTAAGGTATTTCGCGGATTATCGAATTAAATTACATACTTCTCTAATTAGAAAAATAAACAACCAAAATATTTGATTTTCACCTGTTTAGGTATACTGTTCAGATTAATTATTAACAAAAAAATTACCAGGGTATCTAATCCTGTTTAATTATCATTTATTCAAGTTTCTAGTTATTTCGTAAAATTTTTAAAATTTTTAATTATTGTATATTTTACCAAATCAATAATCTTAATTTTACAATCTTAATTCTATACACATTTAACCTATTTTTTTATAAAAATTTATTTCTTAAGTATCACCGCGTCTGCTGGCACTTAATTAGACAAAATTTACGATTACTTTATATCTAAATTACTTTAATTGTATAAATTTCTTTACTGCTGTTAATTTTTCTTTGTTTCAGTAAAAACATGGCTTAAGCTATGCGTCTTAGGATAAAAATATATTAAAATTTTTAACCTGATACAAAACAGGTATTACCCTATTTTACTCATTTATTTGCTTCCACTAACATGTATAAACGATTCTCATACTTTTATTTCTCCATAATCAAAAGAAAATTGCTCTTATTCAAAAATAAAGAGAAAGGAATCGAACCCTTATATTCTGGTCATGAGCCAAATAACTTTCCATTAGTTTACTCTTCTTCTTTTAGAAGATCAAATAATTAAAATTCTTAAAAATTTTCCTAGTCATCATACTTTTAATGAATTACCTTTTATAAACCATTCAACCCATTAAAAACAAGGGAATCAAAAAAACTTTTCGGTTTTCTTCTCTCCTAAAAGAGGATCACCCACCCCCCCCCCCAGTCCAGGCGCAGCACTGGCGCACCCCCTGCTGCGGCTATCGCAGGGGGCCCCGCGCCGCACCAACCC